CTTAAGAAAGGTGCCGCTCCCCCAACAGGGCAGGGCCCTGCCCTCCGCCTTGCGGGCTCATTGGCTCGTGGCGACGTCACTCCATTTTACAGGGTCCGTGTCAAGGGGGGGCTGCGATTCTCGGTGATGTTTACTCCCGAGTAAAGGTGCGGGAGCGGGCTGTTTGGGCCGCCTCTGCGTGCATGCGATTCAGGCAGCGTCCCCTTCCCGATAAAGGGGATCGGAGCGACGGGAGAGAACGCCCGTGAGGGGGCTGCGAGCAAAGAGCTTCCAGCTTCTTTGTGGGGCTGGAAGAGGCCCAGAATCCGGAGCCAGGATCCGGCGACCCCCGAAATGCAAGCAGGGAGCGCTCGGGACCCCCTCGCCTGGGGAGCATCAGCAGCCCCGAGCCCAGGCGTGTCTCCTCGGGAGTCAGTCCAGCAAGCAGCCCCTCTCGCGGGGAGCGGAGGGGGCGCCATGATCGCCGCTCGGCTTGGCCCGGCGGGGGCGGGGCTCCGAGGGCAGTGGCTGGGCCCCCCCCACCCCCCCCGCCTCGAGCCCGAGATTGGCACTTCTGGGCATGGGGGAGGGGAGGTCTTTTCGGCTCAGCTGACCTCGCTCCCGCCCCCCTCCTCCGCCCGCCTCGGCTCCTCCGCCGCATAAACAACTGGCCGGGCGTGGCCCCAGGTGGGCAGGATCCGGCTCGGCAAAGCGGGCGGGCCTCAGGCTGGGGAGCCTGCCGGCCGGCCGAGGTCTACTCGAAAGTAAGCGCCCCTGACTTCGCGGGGATGGACTCCCCAGCCGCTTTGCAGCCGTCGAGGCAGAGTTCCCTCGCAAAGCCGCCCTCCCTCCCGAGAAGTGTGCTGGGGCTCTTCTGCAGCGACGCCCGAACCGCCTGTTTTCCAGATCCCGAGCCTCGCTTGCGGAGGAGGCCTGGAAGCCACCGGCCGGGAGCTTCCTTCGCCTTTCGGCTTCTTGGCGCCTCCAGAGTGGGGCGGTGGGGTCGACCCTTTGCAGGGTCTCGCCTGGAGGGAAAAATAGATGTCCTCGCAGGCTCCCGACGGACTTTGGAGCCGCCGCCGCCGCCCCGTTCTGGGCGAATGGGCCACCGCCCACCCCCCACCCCATTTCAGCAAGAAGGGCGACGCAAAGACGGAGAGGCTTTTCGCGCGGGGAAGGCGTCTGGCTTGGTGCGGCCCCCTCCCGGCTCCTATGCCAGTCTTGTGCCCTGCTGAGAGCAATCGAGTGGGGAAAGGCCCAAAGAAAGGTCCCAGAGACAGAGAGCACAGATCTTTGGGCGGTAGTTAAAACATTTCATGATGTGCGGATTAATTTTTCTATGGAGTCATTAACACTGTTTCCAAAACAACCCTTGAAACGCCAGATCTCTGCTTGTCCCAAAGGGCAAAGTAGCGTCCTCCTGGCTTCTTCTGTGGTCCTGGCATGCACCAACTTAAGCCTCTGGATGGGGGGGTCTGATGCAGGAAGGTCGATGCTAGTATAGTAGCACACCCACCCTCTGGGAGCTGCTAGTCAGACTCGTCCCATGAACTCATCCAGAGGTGCCACTCTTCTCTCCAACACTTTGCCTTGTGACTTGGGCACAGCTTGGGCATTTGAAGTTGAGATGCTTACATGGGATATGATTATTTCAGAAGCGCTGGGGATTAAAACCTAATTTTTCCAAACTTGAGACAGTGTAAGATACTCAACCTGTAGGGCAAATATACCACAAATAATACCTTTTTAAAAGGGGTGTGTGAGGCCTAGCCTGCCATTTGGGAGCAGAGGGCTAGTGGCTGGATTCTAGCCCTCCTCCTGCACCTTTAACTCCGTAATTGCTAAGGTGTGTACAGCAAAAGATGCTGGTGTGTTTTCTGAACACTGCAGGGACTTGGGCCAAGAGAAAGAATGATGAAGCACAGCTTCATAATAGGGTTCCCAACCCAGAAGAGACTGCTGTTCTGAATTGCAGTAGTACCTGGACTCGAATCCAGCCTAGGGCAAATGTTCTGGCCTTGCATCCTTGGGCTTTGCCATTTCACACAGTAAAATCCAGTGGCAAAATGGATTGAAACGGCATTATTCAGTGTGTGTAAATAAACGGACCCGGAAGCAGAGGATGGTGCCAATACTGTATCCTATCATTATTTATTTATTTGAAACATTTGAGGCCACCTTTCTACTCCAGACATTAAAAAAATTAAAAATATTAAAATGTGTATAAAAACACAGATATATATGCAACAAAACAATTTAAAACAGATAGACACATAAACAGGAAGGTCAATGAGAATTGGTGAAGGAATGCCAAACAAACCAGAGAAGTCCTCACCCACTGGTGGAAGAGAGTGATTGAAAGGGCTAGAGGAATCTGCCTGGGGAGGGAATTGAATTGTTTTGGTGCCACAACCAAAAAGGCCCTTTCCAGGGTTGCTCCCTACCAAGCTTCAGATGGCCATCACCTCCAGAGATGCTAATAGTAGTCACTTGCGTTCCTGCGGGAATAGGCAGTCTGTAAGGTGCACAAGGAGCTGCAGTGGCTCAAGTGGTTAAGACGCTGAACTGCAGGCTGTGGAAGGTTGGTAGTTCAGCAGTTCGAGACCCAAGTGTGCCGCATGACGGAGTGAGCTCCCATCTCTAGTTCCACCTCCTGCCAACCTAGCAGTTTGAAAGCAAGAAATTGCAAGTAGATAAATAGGTACCACTTCGGTGGGAAGGTAACAGCGTTCCGTGCGCCCTGGTGTTTAGTCATGCCGGCCACATGACCACGGAAATGTCTTCGGACAGCGCTGGCTCTTTGGTTTTGAAACGGAGATGAGCACTGCAACCCTAGAGTCGGACTTGACTGGCTTTCGAGCAAGGGAATCTTTACCTTTTAAGGTGCACAAGCTGAAAGCCACATATTGTTTTATAGGTCAATACCAGCATCCTGAATTGAGTCTGGAAGCAAACTGGATTCAGCGTAGGTGGGACAAGATTATGGTGATATGATCCCACTTCAGTCAGAATTGGCGAGAGCATTCTGTACCAACTGTTGCTTCTGGACACTCTTCAAGGGCAACACCACACACTGCAGTACTCCAAGTTAGATGGACCATTTTATCCCTGAACATAAACTATAAAATGTGAAATCAGCTCTTGGTCTACTACTGGAGTACATTAGATGCTGAACTGGGACCAGGGTACCCCAGCCTTTCAAATCTCAGCTCTGCTGTGATTTCCCTTGGAAGCCTTAAGTCTCTGTATCTGAACACAGGAGATAATGTTGGCATACCTGTGAGCATTACTGTAAACATTCCTAAGATAATACATGTGCAGCGCTTTGAGCATCCTAAAGTAGGGATTCTCAAACACCCGCAGATGCAGTTCACATTCTGCTTGCCAGTCATGATCAAGGGCCAAATTTTCAAGCCTGTTCATCCAGTCAATGCTCCCTCTAAGCTGTGGAGTCTTGTAAGCAAAAATTCTATTTTGTGAGCTAGTGGCATTAAAGTTGTGAGGGAGCGATTTGGCTACTGCTTAAATTTGTTTGCTCTGGCGCCATCCTTCCTGAGCTAAGACAAAAATGTGTGCACCAGAGGCTGAAAAACTATGAGCTAGCTCACACTAACTCAGCTTAGAGGGAACACTGCATCCAGTCATTTTTGTTTGTTTTTCTAAAGAAGAGATTACAAGGCATTCTTCCACAGCTCAAGGGGAATCCTAGTTCCTCCTTCCTTCCCACAGGGACATGTAATGTATTGCTCAGCAGCCAACCCCATAAAGAATAATGAGAAAATGTTCCTAAAGAAGTCTGACCATCTGGTGTTTTAAGTCCATATTAGCTAATTTCATGCGTGCACATTTTCACGGAGCTGTATTAAAAGCATACTTCCTTCCCCCTCCCATACACACACACTCCATTTAATTACTTGACCTACCCATCCAAGGGTGAGAATTGATACCAATGCAAAAGCACCCAAAAGGTTGAAGAAAATGAAACCACCACCATCAGTACCACACCGCCACAAAGCTGTTCGACAGCTCAAGTCATATAGGGACTCCACTCACAAGTGACCAGGGGCTTTCAAACAGCATGTCTCCTGGCTGAATCTGTTTGCCATGGAGTTCGAAACCATTGCACCAAACTGAATAAATGAGATAGTTATTAATCCCATAGGATGCCTCATATACAGTGCCCCCTTCTAGAACTCAACAGACGTTTTATAGCAGCTGTGCTTGCCAGATCACTCCCTAGGAATTGAGTCTTGTTGCCTCTGTTCCTGCTAGGTGTGTATCTTGAGTTAACTATGGCTGTTGCTCCTTTTGATCCTCACATTTATTCCTATCCTTTTATTCCTACCCTGGGTTCTAGGCATGTAAAGCAGAACCTGCGTGCTTTCCTTTGAGTGAATTGTGCTGATTGCTAAGCATGCAGATAGATCTCAGGTGTGGGCAGTGACTGCTGAGGACCGTAAAACAGTGATGTTTCCTTCATACATTTCTAGGGGGGAATACGTGGTTGGAGGCAGTGTTCCCTCTGAGCTGTTAGTGCGAGCTAGCTCACAGCTTTTTAGCCTCTGGCTCACACATTTTTGTCCTACCTGAGAAAGGATGGCTCCAGAGCAAATTAATTTATGCAGTAGCCAAATTGCTTGCTCACAACTTTAATGCCAGTAGCACACAAAGTAGAATTTTTGCTCATGAGATTCCACAGCTTAGAAGGAGCATTGGTTGGAGGGCGGTCTCTTTCCCAGGTGAAAAGTAGCGAGTTCCCCAAGTGTATTCTATGTTCTTCTCCCTCTTAGCTATTCAACAGTCTCTCCCCCACCCTAACCATCAAAGAAACACATGAAGAGAAAGCAAGCAAACAGTAGAAGACTGTCCTGTTGCACTTTGAAATAAAGGAGAGAAGGGAAAAGGAAGCCTTGATGTATATATATCTGGGAAGTAGACAGACTGCCTCCCTTCTGCCCCAGTGCCAGGATTTATGAAATATGCAACAAGGTCATTTAATATATATATTTATATATGGCAGTTTTCTTTATTGATTGCTTGATGTAAAACAATATCAGTTGGCAACTGTTTTCACACATTATAAAAAAATATTAAACTTGGCTCAGTCTGCAATCATTTAAGGACAGCCATATTAATTAACAAATTCCCTCCCTCCCCAAACAAAAACTAAAACAAAACCCTACCAAACAGAGCATTTACAAATGCACACACACAAAAAACACTGCCACTTTGGCTTTATGGGAAAATATCTTATTCTAGATTTAAAAAAAATCTTTTAACATAAATAAGTTAGTATAATTTTCTCAGTGTCTTTACAAAGTTATGTACACAGGTACATTTCAAAAATTAATTTTTTTTTAAAAAAAACATATAGGCAATTTAAAAATACTGTTGAAAGATGTAGTATTTCTTTTTGTTTACTCACTTGCAGGTACGAGAGAGTGAGCAAGAAGAAGGGAGGGGGGAAAGTTCAGGGTTCTGTCAATTTTCCCTCCCTTTCCATTCCAATCATGAATTTTAAATTATTTTTGAAATTATCTAAAGTATTATAGATAGCAAACACTTCTTAGAGAAGGGAATTTAAAGGGTCCCAGAAAAAAAGCCCTTTATTCTGCTACATAATGGAAACAGAGTTCTTGCATACAAATTTAGGACATGATCCCATGCAACGTTCTCCTGTTGAACTTCGTGTGCTCTTCCACACTCACATTCATTCTGTGGGGCGGGGGAGGGGGGAGGAGGAGAATTTCCTGCAGGAATGTGCCCTTAACAAGGAGAAATTCCATCAGCAGGTTCTATCCTTCTGCAATAGCCCATGTTAACGTGTTGATATTTTGTTTTGGAAAAGTTCTGGGCTCCTTTGAGAAAGGGACAATACATCCTTAGAGACCATTTGAAAACACAGACTGTTATTCCCCATACAAATTCTCTGCTTGCTGGATTTGGGAAGCAGATTCCAAACCCATCACCTTTTACCATCCCCAAACCTTCCTAGAACCAACCGAGGAAGAGAGAAAGAGATGGGGGGGGGATTTATGTGCTACATACAGTAAAAACTATATACACAGGTAGTACAATGAAGCAAATGAGGAAACTCCTAATTGCAGAATGCTACATCCAAGGCTTTTAAGAGGCAGATCTTTTATGAGTGCCTGGCTTTAGTGTTAGGTGTGATTTGTTTCAGTGCTTGCAAAGAGTTCTCCATCCCATGGAGAAACAATGATATGTTTTCTTTCTCTTTCATTTACAAACTCTCCATCTTCCTTGCTTCACAAACCCACCGCCTTCAAAGAACAAGGAAATGAATATTTTCTGAAATCTGCAATTAAAGAAGAAAAGTGTAAATCCAGGAAGGAACACTATAGTTCATTTCAAAGTCAGAAGTCGAAGAATCCCAATGTACGGTTGCCAGGAACCCCCTCCCCCCGGCCACTGGGGGGGGTAAGACTCCCAGATCCAGATTAGGAAACTCCTGGAGATTTGGGGGTGGAGTCTGGGAGAACAGGGACCTCACTGGGGTACAATGCTAGAGAATCCACCCTCCAAAGCAGCCACTTTCTCCAGGGGAACTGATCTCTGTTGTCGGGAGATGAGCTGTCATTCCGGGGAATCCCCAGGTCCCACCTGGAGGCTGGCATCCCTATCCCAACAGGCTCCCAGATCTCCCCCCCCCAAAAGCTGGTCCACACTGACAGTGTAATGCGAGACCATACCTCTGGTGTGGCAGGCGAAAAATTGTGGAGCCACCAGGCCTTGCTAGAGGTAGTTAGCTTCAGCTGGCCAGATAAAACCAGACTCTGGATGTCCAGAAACCTCCAAACTCTGGCAGGATCCGCCCACAGCCTGTCAGGTTATTTACTTATTTACCCAGCACCATCAATGTAGAGAGATTCATGAGGAAGAAGACCAGTACTGGCCTGCAAGGAACGTACAATCTCCATCTGACAGGAGGGGAAGGGCTGTGCACTGCCCAACCCATAGGTTCCACTCAGGGGAACAACATTTTTGGAATGGAAAAGCTGGCACAGCTCCTTGCAGGTGGAACGCAGAGATGCTGGGCTGAGGCAACCCCTCTGAAATGCGATGCGTTTTCCAGGCGTGGGGGAGGAACGGGAGGGGGGGGAACCTGCCTCACGCCCCTCTTTAATGGGATTGGTCCACCAAAAAGCTTTCACTTCCCTTTCCAACATCCAAGTAAACAATTAGTAGTAGTTCAGCTTTCACACATGGGCTGCTCAGCTGAGCAGGAGTAACCGCACAGGACATGTTTGTTCCAAACGTCCAATTCCAAACTTTCTCTCTTCAACCAAATTGCCAATCACGTCGGTGAACTTTCTGAGAACACTCCAGCTCTGGGAAGCTCCACGCCCAATGCTACATCTCCCAAACTCCCGCCCTGAATTGCAGTTTTACTTCCAACGTCTTTTGGAATCGCCCTCAAAGCCATAAGGAAATGCCCACAATTTAACATTTTTAGAACGAGCCAGCCCTAAAAGAAGCTTGAAAATAAGCCAGCCTGGTTTCAGTTGCTCTCAAACCCTCCATGGACCTCTCAGCCCCATCAACAGTAGTGCAGCCTGAAGGCGGCAGTCCAAAACATGGGAGCCCACGTCTGAGTAAACAGAACTGATCATTAAGCGGTGGCTTAAGAATAGCAGGCAGCGTCTCCCCTTTGCAGAGGCCTACATTCTCTGGGGAGAAAAGGTGTTTAGCAAAATATGGGCCGTTGTTTTGGTACGGCAGGGCCTTCCTTCCAGATGGCTCTCAAGCTTGAACCCAAAGGGAATTCTTTTCTTGCCATGTGAGAGGAGGCACAATCATCAAACAAATATTTTTAGTACACTCATTGATGGTGCCCAGTGCCCCCGGGCCCTAAACATTCACACAGCCTTATTTTGTTTACCGAGCCCACCTCAGTTGTGGAGATTTACTTTCAACTCCCACTGAAATCTACGGAAGGGGGGAGTTGGGGGGGGGATCAGACTACAGGTGTGTTTCAGATCGCAAAACAAGAGCCACACACCAGCTCGGTTCTGAAAGTCCCCAGCTGCACAACAAGTGAAATCCAGCGGTGCGAACAGAAAAGGTTGAGTGAAGCCCTTCGCTCCCCTGGAGCGTTCTCAGAACTCCGATCCTGGCAGGGACCGGGCGTTTGGAAAGGGCCCCACCTTTTCTGCCAACGACACAACTTTCAACCAGATGCGAAGGAAAACCCACCAAATAAACAATCTACGTCTGATGCCGTCCCGGGCTGGATTTCTTGGGTGTTTGTTCCACTGAGCTGGCACAGGGAGAGTCTTCTGGAATTACCTCTGTCGAGTTGGCTCTTTTGTTTTGATGAGAGGAATCTGGTAAGGGGGGGAAGTTAAAAAAAAATACCCGTAAACTAGGGGAAATATATATATATATTTTAAGTACCTTTGCTGCTCAGCGTTGTGGTCAATGCCAGGCGCAGAGCAAAGGGAGCTCTGGAGGAACACAGCTCAGGGGAAATCTCCCATTATCCTCCACATCCCCAAGTCATTAAGCATGCACAATTTGTCACAGTATTATGGATACAGTGGGGCGAGACTGGTGGGGGACACATACATGTCAGTTGGTCTGGCTGCAGGCAGTTTTACCACCAGCCTTCACCCTCTGCATTGCCTTGGACAAGACGCCAATTCAAACCGCTTGCTCTGGAGTAATCCCGCTAGCCTCAGTTGCACTCCTTCATGCGCTGGCTGAAGAAGCTCGAACCCTTTATCTAACTTCAAGTGTCCTCCCCCTTTCTAACCCAGGCTGGAGCTCCGTGCTCCTTCCCCCCAAAAAAACGCTCCGGTCCAAAACCAAGGGTGGCCCGCCTGGGTCCCTCCTGTAAAAAGGGGACAGGTTTTTTGTAGGGTCGAGCCTGCTTTGTCCGAAAGGCTTTGCCAGAGCCGAAGCCCAGAACAGCCCATATCACAATAAGACCTTGATTCTGGAGTCCCGGGCTTCCCGTTGGCTAAGCCCCCCCCCCCCCCAAAAAAAAGGGCATCCCTGCCCCAAACCCGATCTTATTTGGGAGTCAGCGCTGTTGAGTTCAAGGAACCGCCAAGTTCCCCTGCAAGCCTTGGGCGCCCATCCGCCACAGGGGCTTCCACTTTCGGGAGCAGCCCCCCCCCCCAGCCAGGTTTTATCCCGCCTTTTAATGGGATGGCGGGAGCAGAATAATAAACTAGTACTACCTCGGTCAATGGGATAATCCTGCCTCTGTTACCCTAAACTTCTCGGAGGAGGAGCACAGAAGCCAGCCACCGAGATTTACTTCCCCGTAGGACAGGACTGGAGCTCGTGCACGGCTAAGCCCTGCCTTTCCAGGGATGTCAGATTTACTTAAGAGATGGAGCCTCCGGGTTCCGAAGCAGTCTACCCCTGAACCGCAGGCGCTGGGTTTGAACGGGAGGGGGATCCGTGCCCGGGGGTTCGGGGGCTCTCTGAGGCATCCAGCTGGCCGCTCAAGGCGGCGAGACGGTCGGATCCAGCCCGGCAGAGGCTTGTTGCTTCGGAGACCGCGGCCAGCGCGCAAGGAAACAACCCGGAGGAGAAGGGGGGAGAGGAAGGGGCTTTACCGTCGGGGTCGGCGGTTCGCTTCCTGGGCCCAGCTCGTCGTGGTCCACGGGGCCGAAGAGGCTGCGGCACGCCGAGGGCTTGGGGTAGTCGGCCTGCCGGGCTTCCATCCGCTCCAGCGTCGGGCTGCCATTCGAGAGGCGGACGTGGGACATGGTGGCCCCGGGCGGGCCGGGGAGGGGGGGGGCGGCGCGGGAGCCGAGCGCGCGTCCACCGGGAGCCGCAGGCAACTGAGAGGGCCGCCGTCGCCGCCGCCCGCGCCTTGCATAAGCCACCGCCGGCCAGGCGAGGCGAGGCGGAGGACCCAGAGACCGACGGCGGAGCGAGCGAGCGAGCGAGGGCCGGGGCGGGGCGCCCCGCCGGAGCAGCTCTGCTCAGCGCCGAGCCGCTGCTGCTGCTGCAGAGAAGCCGAGCCGAGCCGCCGCTGGTGCAGGCGGGCGGGGGCTTGGCGGGGGTGTTTTCCCCCTTAAAGGTCGGGGGGGGGCAAGAAGAGGGAGCCGAGCCTCTTTCCCCCCACTTGCCCAATATGGCGATTGAAGGGAGGCTGACCGAGAAGGAAATGATTGACACGGGCCGTCGATTTAAATGGAGGAGGCGCGCCATTGGCTCCGGCGCAGGGCACCGCCCCCCTCCCAACGCTCCGGCCTGGGGCGAGGCCAGCCCCGCGTAAAGGTGGCCCGGCCCAGCGCTCGCCTCGGTCCTCCGGGAGGGACGCGGGCCGGAGAGCCTCGGCCGGGCCGGCGGTTAGGGGCGGGCGCCAATCTCCAGGTGGGGCTCTCTCGGAATCACCGCTGCTCTCCAGACTGCAGAGATCAGTGCCCTTGGAGGAAAGGGCACCCTCGGGGGGCAGGCGGTGTGGCATCGTGGTTTCTCCCTCCCTGGGCCCATCTCCAGGAATCTCCCAAGCTGGAGTTGGCAACCCCCCTACCTGGGGAGGACCAAGTCCACCGGTTGCCGCCCCCACCTGCCTCTCTTGCTGCCCGGCTACTGGCTGGGAGGTGCCCCCCCCTCCCTCCAGGATCTGGAGTCCTAGCAGCGCGGCCCTTCAGGGGGCTGGGGGCTACAAGCAAACACAAGACATCCCCCTGGGCCCTGAGGAAATATAACCTGGGTCCCCTGTGAACCCCCATCCTCAGTCCATCCCCCAGGCTGCCTCCGGCCCCTTCCCATGATTCCTGCCAGAGATTCGCCCAGATCAGTGACTCATGTCTGAGCACAGGTGGTCATTTCTTCTGGGGGTGGCTAATCCTTCCTGGTAATCACAAATAGACATCTTTGGGGAGATCTCAGTAACCCCTCCTCCATGTCAGAGAGAGTGTGCCTCAGTTCTGAGGCATCCAGGAACTGACAGTTTCCCATGTCTTCCAATGCAAGACACCTGCAGCATGCACTCCCTCACTTCCCGTCCACATACTGCATGCCTAGGCACTTCCCTGCTCAGATCCAGACTAGAGATGCTGCTTCTAGGAAAGGAAGGATCATATTCAGTGTTGGGACCTCTCCTGCATGTTGGATGCGCAAAATTTGTTGCAGTAATGGAAGTCTGGAGGGAAACTGTGTTCCGTGTGAAAAACTTTTATGTTCAGAGGGGAGGGATTTGATGAATATCATCAGACTCCTGTGTTGGGTCTTTGAAATAAGGGGGTGCGGGAGGGAAGGAGCATGTATATGAAAGAAGAAGAGATTGGATTTATACCTCGCCCTTCACTACCTGAAGGAGTCTCAGAGCGGCTTACAAACTCCTTTCCCTTCCCCTCCCCACCACAGACACCCTGGGAGGTAGGTGGGGCTGAGAGAGCTCTGACAGAAACTGCTCTTTTTCAAGAACAGCTGTGCCAGAACTATGGCTTGCCCAAGGTCATCCAGCAGCTGCAAGGGGAGGAGTGGGGAATCAAACCCGGTCCTCCCAGATTAGAGTCTGCGCACTTAACCACTACACCAAACTGAAAGATGCGAGCAGCGGCTCAGGCAGGAGATGATGGGGTGCCCGTCTCTGTTGGGGGCGCCTTCAGCTGCACACATGGGGCAGGGATCCTCACGCCCTTCCTCCAGCATGGGGCTGTGTAGCAAGAGGGGAAGGCGGAGCACTAATGAATCCAGAGGGGCAGCAGGCAGTGATGTTTCCAAGGAGTTCCCCTGGCAGCAGGAAACCTGGTGGCCTTTCTCTGCTCATCCACCCCCAGTGAACAGTTGACTGGAGAGAATTTTCCTGCTACATTTGGGTTCCTCCTTGCAGCAGAACTGGGGTTGCCAGCTCTGGATGGGGAAATACCTGGAGAATTTGGGGGTGGAGCCTGGGGGGGGAAGGACCTCAAGGAGGGGCAATGCCATACTGTCCACCTTCTAAAGCAGCCATTTTCTCTCCGCAGGAACTGATCTCTGTGTCTGGAGATCAACGGTGAGAGTGGGAGATCTCCAGGTGCCACCTGGAGGTTGGCAACCTCAAGAAATGACAGCCTCCCCCTCTCTATATATGCATGTATCCATCCCTGGCACGTGTGCACGCACACACACACCCCTTTGCATCCACAAGGCATCCGAAAGCTTTCTGGGGCACCCCTGACATAAACTCGCCCCTTTCCGTCTGCACTTTCACTTCTCAAGGTTTTCTAAGCAGCAGACTGGGGACCCGACACACGGGGACTAGTCCTGCAATCCTTTGTAAAATTACACTCTTTGAAATTCACTGAAGTCAATGGGCACCGAACGGTGCCATTCTGTTTAGGTCTGCAGTGTGACTCTCTTGGCTTACACAGTTTTCTGATTGAAACTGGCTTCCCTTCACTGGAATGGGGAAAACTTATTTATTATTTATTTATTTATTTTTCGCATTTATACCCCGCCCTCCCCGATAGGTTCAGGGCGGCTGAGAGGGCACCGGTTTCATTTGCTTTCCAGGGCTGCTAACAGCCCCTGAGTGTTTGTTCCAGGTTCTCTAAGCAAAACTGCATGGGTGGGGCAGTAACCCTGAACTGCAAGTCTGATCTAAACCAAGGCCTGGATGGTTCTAAATTTGGTTATTGAGTGCTGGGAGGAGCCCTCTGAGCTCCCAGTTTATCCAGATTGGGACCCTAGATGGCTCTTCCCGGCACTTTCCCCTTCCTCCAGTGTGATATTGCTAATAGAAGCCAGCCAGCCTGTTACACCGTAAGTCTCCTGAAATCCACACCAATGCAATACTTTTCAGCAAAGTCACTCCATGCATTCAACTGCCAGTCAATAAGTGAATAGCTGAAAGCAGAGAAACGATATTGTGTTTTTAAATGTGTGTATCAGGCTCTGATGATTGGCAGGTGAAGATCTGAGCTGATTCCACTGACAACTCCTTTGAAATGATGAGAGGAGAAATTATAGTTTTGTTCGTGGTTTTGTATCCATTATTCAGAAATGCAACAAGTCATCCCTTGAAGTTACCAGCGACAAACAGGCATGTGTGAATCAGCTGCTGCAGCCAATCACAACTCCCTGTATGATGCAAGGCCAGCTTGGTGTTGTGGTTAAGAGCAGCAGATTCTAACCTGGAGAGCTGGGTTTGCTTCCCCACTCCTCCTCCACGTGAAGCCAGCTGGGTGATCTTGGGCCAGTCCCAGTTCACTCAGAACTCTCTTGGCCCCACCTACCTCACAAGGGGTCTGTTGTGGGGAAGGGTAATTGTAAGCCGCTCTGAGACTCCTTAGGGTAGAGAAAAGTGGGGTATAAAAACCTAATCCTTTTCTTCGTAGCTGACATTCAGACTTTTTAGGAGTACATTTAAAACGTTTTAGGTGTATGCATAAAATGTAATGTGTGAAGCAGCTCACTGTACACTAGACAAAACAATGTTTTTAAAGCCATTACGAGGATCTTCAGCATTCAGGTGCTTTGATTTCCAGGAAAAAGCTGATGTTTTGGAAGGACTGAAAACCAGAGTTTGGTAATGGTTCGAGTGTTGGGCTCAGAGCAGGGGACACAGGTCCATATCCCACTAAGCCCTGGAGCTGAGCAGTGGCCTTGGGCCTCTCATGCGCTTTCAGACAGGTTTCCTGTGAAGGAGAAAAGTGTATATGCCATCCTGCAGTCCTTTAGGGGAAGGAGGGAGGGTTCAAATGTGCTACATAATAGCCAGAAATTGCCGTCATTCTCATGCCTACTATCAAAACCCATATATTCATATAAGAACATAAGACCCCTGCTGGGTCAAAACAGTGGTCTATCTGGTCCAGCATCCTGTCTCACACAGTGGCCAGCCAGATCCTCAGGAGGACCAAGAATAGGGCATAGAGGCCGAGACCTTCCCTCAATACTGCCTCATGACACTGGTATTCAGAGGTTACCTGCCTCTGAATGTGGGGGTTCCATTTATTCATCAATGCCACAAATCTGTCTAATCTAAAGCTGCCTAAGTTTGTGGCCATCACTACATCCTCTTGACAGCAAATTCCACGTCAAGTAAAGAAGTATTTTCTTTTGTCTGTCAGTCTACTGCCCATCAGTTTCATTGGATGCCCTCAGGTTCTAGTATTTTGGAAGAGAGCGAGAGAAAGTTCTCTTTGTTGACTCTCTCCAGCCTATGCATAATTTTTACAAATTTCTACCTGTCCCGGCTTAGTTATCTCTTTTCTAAACGGAAAAGACCTAAACCAGGGGGGCTTCTATCAGGCCCGCAGTGGAACTGGCTGTCTTCTGCTTCTTCTTACAGTTCTGCTGCTGCATCATTGTAGATTTGCAGCTTACAGATACACACCTGAACAGCATACTCAAGATTGCAATAGCACAGAAATTTTGATGCAGTAATTCAGAGCAAGAGGTGTCAGTTATCAGACACTGTTAAATAAACAAAATATTGCAAGCGTGCTAATGTTTTAAGCAACGTTTTTTCATTAAGTAAAAAAAGAGCTTTGTGTTTGTGTCCTTTATAAAGTTGATATCTCCACTACCTGGCATTACGTTTTATGCCATGCATGGCCTGGCCCAACGAGGTCTCGTTTATGTCAGCTCCAGCCCTTATAACGAGCTCGACACCCCTGACCTAGACTCTTCAACCTTTCCTCATAGAGAAGGTTCTCTAACCCTTTGCTTTCCCTCTTCTGTATCTTTTCCAGCTATACAATTTTTTTAAAAAGACATGTTGACCAGAACTGCAGAGAGAACAACCCCAAGTTCTCTTTTTCTCTTAGTACAGAGTGTCAGCAGTTTGCAAATGTCCTTTAAAAATCCTTTACAGGCCATGCCTTTGGACGTCAGTAACGATGAGACTTTGTGAACATCTTTTGGCAGGGTTTTCCAGAGAAAGGGAACAGTGAATAGAAAGTTGAAAGGGGGATTGAGGTGGGGCAGGCACTCAGCTTGCATGTGAGTTCACAGGAAGAGAGGCACTCCTTAATTCAGACATGCAGGTCCAAGGTCAGGAGGGTAAGAACCAGCATCTTAAATTGAGCCTGGGAGCA